AAACAATTGCTCTCATCCGCGCTGAAGAAAGCCGAAGATATGTAATGCCAAAACCAAAAGCTGTTGAGAGCTTAACAATGATGACCAAAGAAGTTCCATGGAAGAAAAAAGGTAAAGACTCCTCGAAATATAAAGACAGTGACTCACTTTGGTGTAGCTATTGCAAGAAGTCAAGACATATAAAGAAAACATGCTGGAAGATACACGGAAAGCCCCTCAAGTAAGGAGTGGATTCAAAGTAGTGAGAAAAGAGACACATCATACACTAACACCACGATGAGTCAGCCTAACACAGAAACACCAACCAGCTTCAAAGAACTCACTAAAGATGACATTGACAAACTAAGACAACTCCTGGTATCGCTTGAAAAACCACTTGCATATTCTTTTCTTGCACTTTCAGGTAAGTTTCTTATATTCACTGGATTAAGTACCTTCATAAATCATTTGAAAGGAATATAGATCATTGACTCAGGAACCATAAATCACATGATAAACTCCACCACCCACTTCATCAATTATAATCCTTGCTTAAGTGACAAGAAAATCATCATTGCTGATTAAACCCTACTTATTGCTTATTTCAGGACTAGGGATCGGGGAAGAAGATTAGACTTGCTAAGGAGAAAGTTGGACTATACTATCTGGAAGAGCTGAACAAATCTAAAAAAAGCTACTCTATGTTATCCCTTGTTGACAAAAAAATAAATTATTTGGTTTAATCATTTCAGATTAGGACATCCATCATTAGAAGTCCTAAAATATATGTTTCCTAAACTTTTTCATAATTTGAAAAATGAATATTTTCATTGTGAAACTTGTGAATTAGCCAAACATAAAAGAATCGATTTTCCAAATAAAAATGAGAGATGCAATACTCCTTTCCCTTATATCTCATTCATAAAAAATCCCCAACATCTCTGGGGCTCGTTAGTTTGTATGTTTCATTGATGATTGTACTCGGGTATCTTGGATCTACCTCCTCAAAAATAAATCTAACGTTAGCACCAATCTTCCCATTTTTGACGCCATGATTTATAATCAATTCATGATAAAAATAAAGAAATTTCGTTCAGACAATGCTAAAGACTACTTCAACTAAACCCTATACTCTTATTTTTAGAGTGAATGTATCATCCACGAATCCTCCTGCATTCACACCCTACAACAAAATGGGGTTGTAGAAAAAAAGAATGGTCATCTCCTAGCTTCCACTTGCGCCTTCCTACTCTACCACAATATACAAAATCCTACTAGGGAGAAGCCCTCCTAACTGCCACTTATGTTATAAACCGACTACCTTCAAAAACATTGGGATTGAAAGCTCCAATGGATATTTTGTCCACCTTTTACCCCGATATTTGAACCCATAATAACCTTACATCCAGAATCTTTGGGTGCACTGCCTATGTTCACATTCACAGCCAGAATAGAGGAAAACTGGATCCAATGACACTCAAATGTATCTTTATCGGATACTCTGCCACCCAAAAAGATTAAAAGTACTATCACCCCCCACAAAGAAAACTCTTGTATTCATTTATGTCACTTTAAATGAACAAAATTCTTACTTTACGAAACCTCATTTTCAGGGGGAGATAGAAATAAAGGAAGATGATGAAAGTATGCTTGCCCCTCTTGACCTTTCCCAACTACATCAAATGAATTCACCTGGAATTCAAAATAGGGAAGCTGAAGACAAAACTATCCTTAGATTTGGGAATGACTATTCCAGGCATACAAATTCAAATTGTGCTCCGAAGCAGATCCAAGATTTTGAACCATCTCTTGAAAATAAGATAAATTCACCACCTCCCTTATACCTATAATGAACTCCATATCAATAAATAATTTTTCTTCCCCATATAAAAACTTCCTTGTTACGCTAGACAATATTCATATTCCTAATGATATTTCTAAGGCTTAGTCTGATGAAAATTGAAAAAATGACCTGAAAGACGAAATACAGGCCCTAGAGAAGAACAACACATGGGAGATCATCAACCTACCGCTAGGAAAATAGGCAGTCGGTTGAAAATGGATGTTCTATGTAAAATACAAAGCCAATTGTACACTAAAAAGATACAAAGCGAGTAGTGGCAAAAGGGTATACTCAAACATATGGCATTGACTACCATGATGCCTTTGCACATATAGCCAATTAAGATGAATACTGTTAGAATTCTACTTTCACTAGCAGCTAAATATAGTTGACACCTGGAACAACTAGATGTAAAGAATGCATTTATATGTGGGGACTTGGAGGAAGAGATATTTATGGAGATACTACCAGGATTTAAGGAAAAATCTGGAAGTGAAATGCTGGTTGAGAAAAGTCCCCCCTATATGGGCTAAAACAATCACCTAGGGCCTAGTTTGGAAGATTCTCAAAATTCATGCTTCTTAATGGGTATCGACAGAGTCAAGGGGACCATACACTCTTCTTTAAACACACAGACTCAGGAGAAGTCACAATACTATTAGTCTATGTAGATGATATTATCTTGATTGGGAATGATAAAAATGAGAAAGAAAGTCTAATGAAAAACTTTACTAAGGAATTTGATATTAAAGAACTTGGTAGGCTAAAATACTTTCTTGGAATTGAAGTAGCTCATTCCAGCAAAGGAATCACAACAAAAAATACATTAAAGATATTATGAAGGAAACAAGAAAAATAGCATGTAAGCCAGCACCAATGCCAGTAGAACCAAATCTCAAATTGGGAGAAGTAAAAGAATATCTAGATGTAGATAAAGGGGCTTACCAGAGACTTGTGGGAAAACTAATCTACCTTTCTCACACAAGACCAGATATAACATTTGCTATAAGTATGGTCAGTTAGTTTATGCAAAATTCAAAGTAGACTCATATGCAAGCAGTAGACAGAACATTGCACTACGTTAAGGGTAACCATGGGAAGGGGATTCTCTTCAGAAGAGACCATGGAATAACCCTAGAAGTATAAACTGATGCTAACTATGCAGGATCACCAGTAGACATAATATCTACTTCGGGGTACTGCATATTTCTTGGAGGAAACTTCGTTATATGGAGAAGCAATAAACAAAATGTGGTGGCAAGATGTAGTATAGAAGCAGAATATAGGGCTATGACCTTGGGAATATGTGAGGTACTATGGATCAAGATGATTCTAGAAGATCTAAGGATCAAGTGGGACGAACCTATAGAGTTGCATTGTGACAACAAATCAACAATTAGCATGGCTCACAATCTAGTCCAACATGACAGAATCAAGCACATAGAAGTTTATAGACATTTTATAAAAGAAAAGTTAAACAGTGGTCTTGTATGTATCAACCATGTGTCATCAAAAGATTAGCTCGCAGATGTCATTACCAAAGGGTAACATAACTCTACCTTTCTCAGAATGATAGCCAAGCTGGGAATTACAGGTCCATACCTCGCAGCTTGAGGGAGAGTGTTAAATCCCAGCCGTTTCCTCTCGAAGGAGATCCGAAGACCATGAAGAGCGATCCGTGGGAAGCTCGCAAGAATCACGCTAGAATCATACTAATTCATTTCCATAATGAAGTAGTTGATTTAGGAAGGAATGTATTAGGGCTATTATGCATGAATTTGTCAATATTTATTTTTTTATTAAGATATCATGTATAAATCTATAAATAGGGAAGAAATTGAGTAATGAAGAATGGTTTTTTTCCCTCTCAAATTCCCGATTTTAACATGTTTCAAATATTTGACATAATTTAATCACTTCCCGTTATTGAGAAACCTTCCTAAAAATGTCAAACACTGATCAATTATTTTTCTAGTGGATTCAAATTTGCTATTATGTGCTTTCTTCAATTCTTTCTTCGCCTGGAATCCTTCTTGTTTTATTTATGCAGGGCTCTGTTTGGTTTGTGTGAATTAAGATCTTTTGTGCGTTGGCTTTCCACGCCCTCTGTATAAATGATATTCTTATCTGAAGGGCCTTGATCTTTGTAATGTCTATAAATGGTTTGACATGCTTTTGTTGAGAAATTTTTCACATGGAAACAAAAGTATTGAGTGCTAATAGAAGCTGATATCCCTGCGGCATGCCATTGTTCAAACTTTGGTACGTCTCAACCTTGAAGTTTAGAAGAAAATAGTTTGTTCTAGAATACACAAAATTTATTAAAAGGAACAGAATAATACACAAATGCAGATAGTCAACCCTATTTATTTAGTTTGTCAGCCTCAAATTAACTACAGCCTCTTTTGTTTGTTTTTCTTAGGAAATATCCAATATATGAAACTTACAAAACTTTAGTCCTTATCATGTTCTTTGATTATCAGGAAACTTCTGTTAGTGGATGTGCTGAATTATGCTAATTCTAACCTTGCTACATAGCTTGCAATATATATATATATATTGTGTGTGTGGATATATACATACATACGTATGTATATGTATGCACATATATGTATATATATGTATATTGGTGCTGACGCTCTTGGATAATGTTAATGTTAATTTCTAGATCTTATAAAGAATTTTCCTTTTCTTGTTTCAGCTCTGGATTTTGAACATGATTTCAATACTTAAAGGAATACTTATACAGGTTTCTTTGAAGACTATTAAAGATGGCTTCAAGTGGCACATGAAGATGTTTAGAAATTCAGTCTTATGTTATTACTTTTGCGTTGTTAGAAATATTGATGGTATTGTGAGCGATACTTCAATAGTTTTCAGTTGATATCTTTGGAGTTGCAGATCTTAGATTGTTGGATTATGAAAATTGCAAGCTTGATATAATAGAGAAAAACATCTTAATTTTAAGTATTGTTTCTATGTGAGCGATGCTTTTGCTTAAATTTCAAAGTTCTGAATCCTGTTGTATGTGGAAATGTATAACCCTTTAATTAATATGTTATCATACGTGGTAAGGTGATTTAATGAATTAATAAATATATTAAAAACTACTTATTTCTGTTCTTAATTTATTTTCCTTCCAATCTTTATTGGAATGCCTTTCTGTTTTTCTTTGCAGACCTTGTCCTTGGAACAGAGTCAGTATCAATTATGGCACGCAGGAACTCCTATATGCCACCCACGCCTGAATCTCATCCCTTCCATCTATATAATCCTCAAAATCATAATCCTGGCAGGCATTTAGGTAAAACATCTTTTTTCTTTTTTCATTTTCGTTCTTTATACTTAATCCAATCAATTTTATCGAAATTTTCTTTTTTCCCTTTTATGCAAACTCAACAGTTTTGATATTTGATTAGCAGAAAGAACAATGCTGGCACCTACTGAAAATACGGTGTTTAATCATAGCATGAGGCTTCCGAATCCCCGTCCTGCTAATTCTGGAGTATTTCATGGCCAATATCATTGCCCTATATCAGCTGCTAGTTCTAGCCAATGTTTGCCGTATCCTACTCAATGTGCGCCTTACTGTTATGATCAACACGCTTATGTGAATGGCGCTAACATGTTTGATCCTAAGGAAGAAAATGTTAGGGTTGCATTTAAAAGAAAACACCCAAGTACACACCCAGCCTATCAGAATGACCTTGGATATTGCTTTACTGGGGGTAATTTTCAGCTGAAGCCAGTACCAGGATGCCGTAGGCCTCAATCATCCACTAGCGTTGCTATTCGTTACCCCAGCGATACTTTCTTGTTGGCTGGTGAACAACATCAGAGGAATGTGAGAAGCAGGCATGATGATGCTTCTTTTAGCCTATCCTGGCCATCTTCATCAAGCAACCCACCCCATCAATCACACACATCTGTGAATAATTCCTCTTTCAATGTAGTTGGGCAATGCGGTCTTCCACGGCTACCTAGAACTCATGCTCATTTGATTCATCCCACTGGTCAGTATGTTCTACTTTTTTTCTTGTAATTATGTGATGGACGGTGGAGGAGAGAATACTCAATTTCATTTTAATAGAAGTACAAAATCTTTTGTAGGAAAAGGCAACCAAATCTCACCTATCACATTGTTAATAAAGCAATTAATTAAATATCAACTCAATATATCATATCATTTCATTCTATTATAATGGTAATTGTAGATGTTGGACTTTAATACGATACATAAAGTTATGATTTAAATGCATGCCTATTCTTCTTCTTTTGATTTTTTATTCTTCTTCTGGGGTTTCTCCAGTTTCGTCATGAATTGAAAATATATATTTTTTCTAAAAATTAAAGAGTTGAATTTCAGTCCTTGTGGAGAAGTCAATTCAGATCTTTTACAACACTCTTCCTTATCGTGAAAATACATTTTCTCTAAAGATAAAAAGTATAACTCATAAAAATATATCATAATAATGTGTGTTGTACTGCATCATTATGACATATCTTAATATATATTTTAGTTGCAGATGCGGGTTTCTCCAGTTCTGTTATGAATCCTTCTGTTTCTGCAAATGTTATTACTGGCGGCAGCACAAACAATCATGACGCTTGCTACTCAGAACAATGGAGGAATTTATATTCTGTATTACCCACATCCCATGCTTCTGCGCCTAGAGGGACAGTGGCTGGTCCTAGCAGATACAATCACAGACAAACTTCTGCTGCTGCTTATAAGGATTCTGTGTCTTTTGTAGCTGGATCTGTCGCATTTCGTCCAAATCCAAGCCCGTTTATTCGCAACGGAGGCCTAAGAATCTCTAATGAAGCCCAACCTTTGTTCAATGAGGAGAATGGACGTGTTAGATGGACATCTCAGGTCTGTTGCTTTGCCCCCAAATCAAAGATTCACTTTGTAGCATGGTAACTGAAACAAAATCCTAACTCTTTGTTTTCACAGGATTCAGCAATGTTCAATGTGCCAAGCTATTTCAATCCTCCAGATTTGCTCGATGAGCATAGGGACCTGAGGCTAGACATTGACGACATGAGCTATGAGGTTTGTCAGTCCTCTTCCTGCATATTATACCGTTTCTATATTAATGTATTATGTTGGGAATCAAGGATGATCTAATTTAATGAGAGCAAAAAAAAAAAAAAAAAAATTGAAGATCAAATACAACAGTACATAATGAATTTAACATTAAGTTCACTGAGTTCATTGTTGGCCTGTTGCCACAACGGTAAATTTTATTATGATTTTGACAAAATTTATTTCTTTAAAGTTTATTCTCATACCCATAAATTTTCCAGATTCAACATTAAGATGGCACCCTTTATAAAGAAAAAATTCATTAAAACGCCGAAATGTCCCCAATCTATGGAGTAATTATTATGTCCGGATACCAAACGTGTCCAGAGACCAATAAAAATGCGCCACATCATTAGGCGCTCGGTACCGATAGCAGTACCACTCGGTACGCTCGGTACCCTATCCGGACACAATAATTTTTCCAATCTATGACTGAATATGCATATTACATTTTCTTCCTTTCGCAAGACAACTTAACATATCAAATGACACTAACTAGTTTGTGTGATTTCAGGAGCTTCTTGATTTACAAGATAGCATTGGAAATGTTAATACTGGGTTATCAGAAGACCAACTCTCCGTATGCCTAACAAAAACAATGTACTGCTCAACTCGGGCTTTAGAGGATCAGCTTGAATCTAGCTGCTCAATATGCTTGGTAAGCTTCATGTTTTGGGGGATTCATAGATCCCGCTATTCTTATTTATCTGCATATATAACACCTAAATTGCTTTAATATTTCTATAACACCGTGTCTAAATCACCTCAAAATCTATGAATAAAAATATGTATTTCATACTAGATAAATTTATATCAGGGATATTATTTATATGCATTAGAGAAGGTGATATTAGACGAGTAAATATAAATATTTAAATATTAAATACACAAAAAATTTAGTGGTATTTATATAAACCCTCATGTTTCAAATAAATTATTCCTAATATTATTTTTTTATATAAATTTGAAGTATCAAAATAGTGAAAATTTGGCCTGTGGTCAATAGGAAGAATACAGGGATGAGGATAATCTTGGAATGATGAAGTGCCTTCATGTTTATCATTTTGACTGCATCAATGACTGGTTAAGCAAAAAGAATGCCTGTCCTATTTGTAAAGCTCCAGCACTGGAAGATATGCCCTGAAGCAGAACTGAAGGTTACTTTCTGATTTGGATGGCTCAAAGAGCTTATTTAGACGTTTGATTTTGCAAAATTTAAATCTGCTTTTGCTTATTGTAAATAAGTTGGTTAACTAGTATGATGTTGCAAGAATTTGGTTTAGGCATTTAACATTTGTTTCAGTTGCATTGTTTATAATCTCTTATGGTATAGTTCAATGCTTAATGATTTTATTTTCATTGAAATCCTTATTTTTGGGAAATATTATAGATGATTGTACAGTTTTTAATGTATATTAATATTTAATTACACAACCAAATGGGGTTTAGTATTGTCTTTATTTGGACAAATTATTTGCAAATTTTTATGTTTTAAACTAAAATATATTTAAAGTGTCAAATGTCACATTTAAAATGATTAAAACTAAAATATTTTTAAAATGATATATTAGTAATAATTATAAAATTCAAATGAATAGTTAAGCGTCTAAATTAACTACTGAAAAGTACCTCGGCAGGCAAAAATTATGTAAATATTCCACAGATTAACTATGTAGTGGTCTATAATATTCTTGTCATGTGAAAATATAAAAATAATATGACGTAAAACAGGCTAGAAATGTACATAAGCATACCATTTATTTTACATCAAATTCTTACATCGGTACTCGCAAAAAAAAGTTTTAAAATAGTTTTTGAGTATAATATTTTTTTGAATTATAATTTTTTGAATTAAAGAGAAAAAGTAAGAAAGGTGTCTTAAAGGAAACCTCAATTTTTTTAGTACTAACAAGAAACAAATAATTTTTTTCATCAAATTATTGGATTTGACCAAAAAGTATTATTTGTTTTAATCTTTATTTTAATATGACTGGATAATTTTATAGCAACAAGCTACAGAGTGATATACATCAAACAGTGTCAACAAGTTAGTTTAAAGCTCCAATAAGAATGCCTACTAATTGGATATTAAAAAGTTTAGAAAACAGTTAAAATTACATTATTTAGTATCAGAGTATCCAAACTTAGGTGAGTAAGGCAATGTAAAGGTTTAAATTTAAGAGGAATTAGGGTTGGGAAAAAGTTAGTGCTCAGCCAACTCAATTGTAGCTATCAGTCAAGACACATTGCCCATGGTTCAAATACCTATAACCTTCTCTCCATAAGTCCAAATGATATGAAATGGAAACTAATTAAAGATTAAGAGATCTAGTTTGAATTCGGATAATTTGGTGTTTATTTGTGGATGCTTTTATGATTTTCTCTAAATTTTTTTATTAAATTGGTCTAATATTTTCTTTTATGGCTGAAGGTTGTATGTGACTTAGAGTTTCTAGAACGCTTGATTTTAATGTGTAATGACCCCAAATAAATATATTTAGATAAATGTTTAGGGAATCTACTATGGACTTGAATTTTATGGGAATTTATAGAGGAGTTTAAGTCACCCAATTGAAGGCAAACTAAAACTAGGTTAGTTCTGACCTAATTTGGGCCACAAATGATGGATTTGATTGCTAAGAAATTATGATTATAATTTTTATTGGATTGGAGAATCATTGGTAGTACAAAGCACAAAAGAAAAAAAAAATCAAGAGGTAAAGTAAGCTAAATCCTACTACTCACTCAAGTAGTAGTTTTAGAAAGGATCACTCAACCCCTTCTTGTTTGACCAGACATCAAGCTCCAACTTAATGAATTTTTCTTCAAAATTTAGTCACAATACATATCAATATCCTTCATTCCACAGTTAATTAAGTGTTTATAAAAGTTACACAATAGTAATTTGAATTTAGAAAAGATGGAAAGTGGAAAGGAAGGGGTAGTCCACGCTAGTAACAATCATAACAAGTCCCTCCTTCCTTGCTTGGCCAACCATTACACTCTTTGGCAACTTGGCTTTTCCAACCACTTATTCCTTACTCTAGGCACATAATAAACAAAATTAAGTACCTTTTTCTTATCATGACCCGGCCCGAAGGCTCAAATTAATGACAGTAAATTATTTTTTTATTACTAAATCTATCTCAAATATATTGAAAGAGCCACTAAACATCACTACAGGAAAAACGCTGAAAATCGGCGGTTTTTTCCGGCGGTTATTGTAAAATTACCGGCGGTTTTTTACGTTACCGGCGGTCTAACGGCGGTTTGGTAACCGCCGGTAAAAACGGCGTAGGAAACCAATTCCGACGGCTTTTTACCGGCGGTTTATTTTTGCGGCGGTTTTCCGGCGGCCCGTACCGCCGGTGACCACCGGAATTTTAACCGTCGGTCTTTCGGCGGTTCAGCCGCCGGTATTGTAAGC